AACCAGGGAATGTGGGCCGAACCAGGGAATGTGGGCCGAACCTGGGAATGTGGGCCGAACCAGGGAATGTGGGCCGAACCAGGGAATGTGGGCCGAACCAGGGAATGTGGGCCAAACCTGGAAATGTGGGCCGAACCAGGGAATGTGGGCCGAACCAGGGAATGTGGGCCAAACCTGGAAATGTGGGCCGAACCAGGGAATGTGGGCTGAACCAGGGAATGTGGGCTGAACCAGGGAATGTGGGCCGGTGTTGTGCCAAAAATCGATTGGCTGACAAATGGCGGCTGCGGGAGCGTGTACGGTAGGACTTTAACAAGAATTTAACAAGATGAACACTTAAAAACAATTATTTGTTTGCTCTGGATGCTGCTCGTTTCTTCGAAATTTAACAAGATGAGAACCTAAAACAATTATTTGTTTGCTCGAAATTATAGCAAAGGTGTGTCTCAGTTGAACTTTTACTCAATAAATGCACTTTAATGTTCAAATTAGCTGCATTTCGCCGAGGCGGTGCAGCTAAATGAAGCTGATTTGACAGTTCCTACAAGCAGCGAGCAGAACAAAAGTGGCAGGTTAAGGCAAGCCAATTGTGTCATTAATAGCTGGTGAAGATTCTCAGGCATCCAGGACATGGTAAATTCAAAAAAGTTGAAGACAAAAATAACAAAGTTTAAAGTAAAATATAATAAATAAAGTCCAGTTGTTTTTGTCTTGAACTTTTTTGAATTTGTCATTATTGCTACTTTTAACTATTACATGTCACAACGGCATGCCATACAACTCAAGTGCAGTCTAGCAGGAGGAAGCTTCTCTTGCATGGGCTGCACAGAGGTGCTAAACAATTTAAAATAAGTCATTTGCAATAAAAATCCATGCTGCCCGTGCGGCTCATCCATCAATCAGCCAACTATGTGTCATGTCCAATCTTACTTTGAAAAACCGCGAAAGAGCGAGTCCGCGATAAACGAACCGTGAAGTAGCGAGGGACTACTGTATAAAGAAATGAGGATGATTGACAGTTTCCCAGTATCAGATTAATTCACAGTATGGTATGAATTCTTATTATCTGCTCAGGAACTGAGGTAAAGTACAGAACATGTCACATATTAAATAATATTAATACATGCACATTTTTATAAATATTAAATATTTGGTAAGCGGTTGATCATGTAAAAAAATGCATTGTTTGTTACACTATAACCCAAAAGTGATTCTCTTTTACATCTTGTATTTTTCATTCATCCTCTCGACTTAAAATGTGTCTGTTTTATTTAAAATATCCTGATTTAAAGGTTGTAAATGTGCCAGGACAGTAGCACAGCTGTGTTTTGTACCTGCAGGCATCGGCCACCTCTCCCTGAAGAGGAAGGGGGCTCTGAGTGTCGCTGAGAACGGTGGCTCTCTGAGGCGATCCTGTGAGTTTGGATCTGACATGTTGTGGCCGCCGCCGCTGGAGTCAGAGGGTGGGTCCAGTCTCGGAAACAAACCGTCTCTTTTGGCCGTTGTTGCTTCAGTTTTGTTCCAAGTGGAGCTTTTTAATGTTCGAAATGTGAATTACTCAGAAATAAACAAACTTTCTCAACATTTAATGTTTGTTCATTTTACACATTGTCATGTCCTCAATTATGACTTCATCATAATATAACAAGACAGCTGTGTTGCTCCTTTTAGAGTAGATTAGAGGCGTGTTATTTTACAAAGGACCTCATTTGGAAAATGAAAAGTCACTTTTAATGATTGTTTACATAAAGAGCCATGAAACAGGCTCTGTGCTAAACAGGAGCTCAAATATTCCAGACCTCGCTGGCTCTCGTGTTTGCCAGGGATGTGACCCAATTATCCCTGAAACAAAATGACCATCAAATGGGTCTAATTGGCCGTGGAGATAACTGAACATGGCACTTGAGCAGCAGCAGCAGCGCGGTGATCCAGCTGAACGATGAGTCACGACGAGGCTGTTTTTTTTTTGTGTGTCCATCTGTCGGCTTCACTCTCCCCTCTGTCTTCAGAGAACCACTCAGCTCCACCGGACGTGACAGGATACTCGTCGGACTCGTCCCACTCCCACACCGAGCGCCACCCCATGTCCAACATGGGGACGATTGCCAGGAACACGCAGAAATACGGCAACGCCGAGCGCATGGAGACAGGCGACGGTGAGAGTCTCCCTGCAACACAAACACTGACCTCTGCTGATACGGTTAACAACACGTCAACCAGGAAGTGACATCACACTGAAGCTGCGCCGTCATGAACTGACCAGTTACACCAGGGGCGTCCAAAATGTGGCCCGAGGGCCATTTGTGGCCCTTGGAGTGATTTTGTGCGGCCCACAACTACAATTAAGGAATGGTATCATTTTGACCCACAGCTTTAAGAGGTTGATGTAGATCTTTAGATTTAATGGTGATACTTTTAAAAATGTTTAGGTTTAACAGAAAAACAAATGAAAATAATCTTCTCAAAATGATCAATATTAAGTGCTATACCAATATGTAGCTTTAATTCATCTCTTTATCTACAGTAAACCTTCACTGACCTACAAAAATTAGAATTTTGGATAATAATCCATAAAGCTTGGCTAAATATAACAAATGTTTTCCAAGAAAATAATTTCAGTTGATTTAATAAACGATGGGGAGATATTGGTCATTTTTAAAAGAATATAAAGTATCATCGACATACAAGTTGATCAGCTTTATCAGTGTCCCTTCAAAGCTTCCATGAGTCTGTTTTAGCGACTGCCAGCTGTTTTTCAGAACCTCATTGACCCTTTTGGGTCGTCCATGGTCCAAATGGGTGTTTGAAGCTCCACCCCTTTTTGTAAAGAGCAATTACTCATTTTAGGCTTTTTCTCTGAAAATGAACAAAAATAACTTTCCGAGCACAAGGAAACAAATAATCCCCCCCCCCCCCCCACCCAAAAAAATATATATAAAATCTCAAAATTAAAAGGTTAATGTTTGTGAGGCTCCTAATGTTCTGGATCTACAAGAATTGAAACTAAACTTTTAACCTTTCTCCAAAATATTGTTGAAGTTGACAGTTTTTTTTAAGTTTTGTTAGATTCAAAATATTCTGTCCCACAAGTCCTTTCATGTGGACAGTTCTGGACAGCTATGAGAACGTTTGGACACCCCTGTGTTGATGCAGCGCCTCTGAATGGACTGGGCCTGTTTTTGAACCTCCACTGTCTGCTCCAACCTGACAGAGCTCCTTTCAGCTTCACATTCACCGCTTCAGTTCAGGACAGACAACCTGAGGGTCATTCAGCAGCTCTCGTCGATGTTTGAAAATAACTTGTTCTGTCAGGACTGCTGTTGTGAGGATTACCAGGCTGACTCGGGTCTTTTCTTTCCGTTGGGACTCGTGTATGTTTTCCAGGTGTTCCCGTCAGCAGTCGTGTGTCGGCCAAGATCCAGCAGCTTGTTAACACGCTGAAGCAGCCCCGCAGGCCACCGCTGAGAGAGTTCTTTGTTGATGACTTCGATGAGCTTCTAGAGGGTCAGACGTTCTCTTTCTGTTCGCATGATTACATTTCAGATCCATGAAGACTGGCCTCGCTCTGTTCCTCTGAAAGCTGAAGCAGCAGAATATCATTTATAGTCTAAATACTACTGGACCAGTTCTGGGTGAACTAAATGAGATGTTTCTGATGATAATGATGGCTGTTTAACCTTTGTTGCATCTGGTGCTAAAAATGATGTCAAATGAAGATTACACATTTTCATGTACTATACAACAAGCATATACAGTTCAAATATAACAGTAAAGTAAAGTCATCCAAGAATATTTCATACTATGTATGGATAAACCTATACCATTATTCATAATAGTATTATTGTCCGCTTCTTTCCTTTCACGTGCATCGTCTCCTGTTCTGTGCAGGTTGAGATTAGATCCTTTATTTTTGACATTCTCATGTTTTTTATAAATTAC